TATATATATACCTTACTTTGTAAATCAGGAAACATTATATAGTCATTTACAGTGATTATGCATAGTGCATGCCTGTGGTCCCAGTTGCTTGGGAGTTGAAAGCAGGAACATCGCTTGAGTCCATGTGTTCTAGTCCAATTTGCAACATAGGGAGACACCAGCTCAGAAAAAGAAAAGAGAAATGCTGTCACTCTTTTTTAAAAAAGTGTGTGTAGGGGCGTGCACACGTGCACGTACGCGTGTGTGTATGTGTGTGTGTGTGTGTGTGTGTGTGTGTGTGTGTGTGTGTGTGTGTGTGCATGTATGTGTACGCATGCACGTGCCCCTCAGGAACACCATCAGTTCTTGTTTCACCACCCCAGCTCTGGTATTACAAGCATATGCCACCATGGCCTGCAAACACACTGTGATACCTGATGTGTTTACCTAGGTTGTGGGGAATGAACTCAGGTCCTCAGGCTTCTGATGCAAACACTTTACTAGCTGAACTGTCTTCCCAGGCCTGTCACTCTGAATTATTACTTGTTCATATAAGAAGAAAATAATTTAGTCTGGTGATTCTTAAAATATGTGCTAGATCCTTAGCCTCTTTGAAAGGGTACGTAAGGCTAAATCTTTTTATAATACTAAGATGTGATTTGCCTTTTTCAGTATTTTGGCAACTGCAGAGATAAGACAGAAAGAGTAAATGTTAGGTTAGAACTGCTGACACTTTACTTACCTGTTTATTTATTGACTGATACTCAAGTTCCATTTTATTAGAGTTTGCTGGTGGATCTCTGTGAGTTCAAGGCCAGTCTAGTCTACGTAGTGATTTCCAGGACAGCTGGGGTTACAGAGAAACCCTGTCTCAAAAAGACCAAAAAAAAAAAAAAGAAACCAACAGGGTATGCAGAGGAAGAAAGCCATGCTTTTGAGCTAGGGATAAGTCTTTGAACCAGAGCATGGCGAGGGCCAGAGGATCAGATGAAACACAGGTCTTTAGAGAGAGAAAAGGCCCAGAGTATCAGGGCAAGCATAATCAGGATTTTGGCCAGTATCTGAAGAGAGAGAAAAGAAAAAATAATGCTTTTTGAGTTAGAACTCAGAAAAGTGGGCAGGATTCACAGTGAGCATCTGTAAGCAGTTGCCTATTTTTTGTTTTGTTTTTGAGATAGATACTCACTGTGCAGGCCAAGCTGGCTTTGAACTTTTGCCTTCTGAGTGTTGGAATTATAGGCATGAACCACCTAGTCCAGTTGTTGGTGTTTTTAAATGAATCAAGGCAGTGGCAAACTTTTCTAGTTATCATTGCATTATCCTTGTTAGGTACTTGCAGCTAAAGAAAATAAAAACAGTTTTACCTAAAAAATATGTTTCATATGCTGATTGGTAGTACACACCTTTAACCCCAGCACTTAGGAAGCAGAGGCTGATGGATCTCTGAGATTTTGGCCAGTCTGGTCTACATAGTGAGTACCAGGCCAGATGGGACTATAGGGAGAGCCTGGCTCAAAAAACCCAACCTTTTTTTTTTTTTCCATGAAGCATTAAAACTTCATTTTAATTAACCCCTTTCATTGGGTTCCCTTTTTTTTTTTTTTTTTTTGCCCTTTTTGAGACAGGGTCTCCTTGTAGCCCCCTGCTGTCCTGGAACTCACTATGTAGACCGGGCCGGCCTCGAACTCACAAAGATCCGCCTACCTCTGCCTCCCAAGTGCTGGTATTAAAGGTGTGCGCCACCATTACACATATTTTTACTACTCTATACAACTCTTTGTTTTACAACTAATAACAAAATTGTGGCTATTCAGTCTTAGATACTATACTGACATTTTCTTCTCTTTTTTCCTCTTAATATTTTATTATTTTAAATTTTTAAAAATTATTTGCCAGTTTAACATTAATACATGTATATAATGAATTCTCATCTTTTTCACACCCATACCTACCATTCCCTTCTCTCATTCCTCTCCTCCTACTAAAACTCTTCTTCCGAACAAGTCCCCTTTCTACTTTCATGTCTTCTATTTTTTAATTTTATTTTTAATTTTTATGTGTATGCATGTATTGCCTGCGCATAGGTAAGTGCACCCATGTCATTCAATGCTTATGGAGGACAGAGGAGGCTATCAGATTCCCTGGAACTGGAGTTATGGACAGTTGTTAGCTGCCATGTGGGTGCTGGGATTCGAACCCAGGTTTTCTGTAAGAACAGCCAGTGTTCTTAACTGCTGAGCCATCTCTCCAGCCCCTTGTGTCTTTTTTTTTTTTTTTAATTTTATGTTAAGTATGTTTTGCCTGCGTGTATACAAGTGTACCACATGCATGCAGTGCCCTCTGAGACCAGAAAAGGGCATCAGATCCCCTGGAACTGGAGTTACAGTTGTTAGCCGCCATGTGGATGCTGAGAACTGAATCTGGGTCCTCTGTAAGTGCAAGGAGTGCTCTTAGCTGCTGAACTATCTCCCTAGCCCCTTTCATGTCTTCTCTTTTTATGTGTGATAAACTGAGTTTTGCATGAGAGCATGGGTAGGAGTTGTTACTAAACATGGGCAGTTTATCAGTGTCTACATACACCACTGAAGAAAAAGACACCTCCAATTCCAGCAGCCATTAACAGCCAATAGGCCCTTAGAGAGGGGTGGGTCCTCACGAGCTCCTCCCCCATCCCTGATGAAATGTTGACAGGCTGATTATTGTGCAAGTCTTGTTCCAATAAACACAGCTGTGGTAAAGTCATGAGTGTAACCACTATGTTATGTCCAGAAGACATATTTTTGCTGCATATCTCCCCATCCTCTGGCCCTTGCATTCTTTCTGCCCTCTCTTCTGCCATGTTCCCCAGGTCTTGCAGAGGGTAATATAGCCAGTTACAGTTTTCTTCATTGACTACTACCCACTGCAATAAGACATTTCCTTGACTTGAGCACAGCCATTAACTTGAAAGATGAATTGGAGCAAGGGTCCTTTGTGGAAATTTTCTTTAAAAGTAATTGAATCTGACCTCTGCAGGCATTGCACAACAGGGATTCACTTACATATATGCAGGCAATATGTTTGTACACTTAAAAATAATAATTTTTATTAATTTTTTGAAAAAGTTCTGTCTTCAACTTGACAATTTCACAATTCTTTTGATAAGATTGGGAGTGATAAAAACCAATGTAATTTTATTATATAATGGAAAATAGCAACATTTAGAGGGCCTCTATAACTCAGTGAATTGATTTTTTTTACATTGGTATGTGATTTTTTCAAAATTCTGAATGGATTAAAATTTTATTTAAGGGACTGGAGAGATGGCTCAGTGGTTAAGAGCACTGACTGCTCTTGCAGAGGACCTGGGTCGGGTTCCCTGTATCTACATGGCAGCTAACAATTTTCTTTAACTCATGCACTTAGTTTTTTTTAAAAAAAAATTTTTATTAGTTTTTAAATTAGTAAATAGCTCACATAAATCAAAGTTACTAAGGGATTTTATGACCAAAAAGTCGAAGATGTTTGTCTAGTCAGTATTCTTAGTTTTTCTATACAAGAACGTATCTGTGCCTATTGGTTGATTGTTATTCTGTTAAGTATTTTAAAACATTCAGAAAGGTGATTGCATGTTCTCTCTTAGTTGCCAGTTGCTATTACTTCTATGAT